ATGCAAGGTTCATAGTATTACTTCATATGGGACAGGATGCATTTCTCAAGAATAGACAAAGCTTCTATCCCCCACAGAACTTCATCTTATGGCTCCCCTGATGCATCCCAGTTACAATAGATTCCAAGGACAGCATCCATAACCTGTGCAGGATATCTGAGAGAGTACAATCCTGCTGCCAACACACATTTCAGAGCAATCTCTACAGGGGAGTGAGATCAATCAACTGGATACAATGTTCTGTCAAAGTAAACAAAGAGGGACATAGCCCATTATTACGTCAAGTTCATATGATCAACAACATTGCTAATTATGTTTGTCATGAGACAGCAAAAAGGGAGAGCAACGATAAATTAGTTTTACAGAGCCTGGAGAGTAAGTGCAGAGAGGCCAGAAAGGGTGTTTCCTGACTCTACTCAGAGTTTGTTCCTCTCAGGTAACCACATACAAGGCCCAGGAGACCATCTCCTATGGCAGTTAGAACCCTCCCCTGGAAGGACACAAGATCAGTTAGTTATTATAATCTATGTCACTCTCCTGGGATTTCTACAATAACAGAAATGACCCAGTTCAAAGACTGTCTCACTCACTATAAAGACAATTTCTCTCATAGTGGAATCAGTTTCTGTATAGGAAAAGTAGGACCTGCAAGGGTCCATAGAAGATGGGGTTCTATACCACAAAGAAGTGTACAAGTTTTCCCATCACTGTCTCCAATTGATGACATCTTTCAAATGAAAAATGAGATTTCTCTAAGGGAGCCTAACTGAGGGAAACTACCACTCCTAAGCATAGGTTGCAGGTCCATCATTAGATGTCTTCAGGTTTCCAATTCTAATGCATTTGGGAGTTTCCCTGCCTCAAGATAACACATGGCTTTATTTATCTAAAATATATAAAATATATTTTATATAAATATATATATATATTATTTTGTAATACAGTTCCTTCTCTTATAGTAAGCTAATAATTGTGGATTTATGGGATTCTTGATCATGTAAATCAGGTGATCTCTGCATCCACACCTGTTCCTTGTGCCTTTTCTTGGGATCTTTTCCTCCAGTTTTTGTTTGTTTGTTTGTTTTGTCCTGTTCCAATGAGTGACATTTTCTTTGATATCATTTTGCTTTATTGTATTTTATTCACTAGAAGCCTGTTTGTCTTCAAAAGACAGCACGGTGGTGTATTAGGAAGGGGAGGACTTAGGAGTTGAGGATGGAGGAGGGAGTATGGGATGCAGAGATTTCTACCAGCAGGAGTTTCCTCTACATTCCACAGTCTGGAGGGAGCAAGAATCAGGTGTGGACCCTGTGCTACAACAACAGGATGGCGTGCTAACTTTCCGGGAAAGATGGAAACCAATCAAGTGCGTGGGAAAAGGAAGAAAAACCTAAGCAGTGTGGTCTTCTTAATCAGAACCAGGAACTCAGGAACCTAAGTGTGAAAAAATGTTAGCACTGACCTGAGCCTTAAAAATACAGAAGCAGAAGAATTGGGTGGAGAGTTTCGGCTAGGTGACCTCACTCCAAGATGTGTTTCTTGTGATCCCTGTAGTCCCCATGCTCTCTATTCCAGACTCACACTGTAGGAAGTCAGACACAGTGATGGGGGTGTTGTAATAAGGAAATGGAGTGGTATCCACCTTCCTCTTTTATAAGGCAAAGGTAAACCCCAAAATGCAAATACATCTTCTAGCTCTAAGTTAAATCCCCTCCTGGGCTGTGGGAGCTCACATCTCTCTCACAGGAGGCTGACATCTGAGAAAAGGGGGTATAGCCTAGAAGATGAGACTGTTGGGTCTTCTGTACCTGGTGACAGCTTTCCTGGTGAGTGTGACCATTTCATACATGTGTCCATGAGGGGATGTGACAACATGTGATTGACAGAATTGACTCTTCCTGTCTGCAGGTGTCCTGTCCCAGATCCAGCTTCAGGAGTCAGGACCTGGCCTGGTGAAGCCCTCACAGTCGCTGTCCCTCACTTGCTCTGTCACTGGTTTCTCCATCACCACCAGTGGTTATTACTGGAGCTGCATCAGGCAGTTCCCAGGGAAGAAGCTGGAGTGGATGGGGTACATATATTATGATGGTAGCACCAACTACAACCCATCCCTCAAGAGCCGCATCTCCATCACCAGAGACACAGCCAAGAACCAGTTCTTCCTG